AGCAAGCGCATTCCAACCCTGACTAGGTGTTGCATGAGGAACCATTTGTGCCACCTGGGACCTTTTGGTTTGCAATGCTTGTCCAAGTGCCAATCTCAGGACTCTGGCCGATATCCAATGAAAATCAGTGGATACATCACTCTGCCTGCTCACTTTGTGCGGATGGTCAACCCTTGGAAGATTTGAGACCACAAGGGTCTCTCCACTGGACCTGCCTGAGGCGACCTGGCTATCCAGGCCCGAACTGGGCGATCCAGCGTTTGCCCTCTTAGGTCCTTATCCTTCTGAAGAGAGAACAGCCTTTCAAGGGACAAAGTCTTGTGAGAGCGGGAACTTGTTTTATCAAGCGAGAACCTGTGAATTGCACATGCTTGATGCTTGCAGGTTCGGGAGCCTATGCCAATCCATACGCTTTCTATCCCAGGCGCCTGGCAAGGTTGACGCTTCGTCAAGCTGTGGCTTGCACATTGGTTGTTTTGCAGTTGTAGCATGATCAAGTTTGCCTTCTTGTGGAAAAGAACGACTTTAGTCACAATGTGTTGCCTCTCTGGAAACCAACATGGCGTGCCAGGGAACCCCCACGTGATTATTATCCAGCATAGTTGAATACAAAGAATCCAAGAAAACATATTTATTTCAGACAAAAACAAATTCATATTTGTGGAACTATGCAAACATATTTGATTTGTTTAGTTCTTTGATCTAAAATTATATATATATATATTGAAAATATAATATATATTAAAATTTAGTTTGGAAAGATATGGTTGGGAGATGGGACAATGTATTATGTATGTGATTTTAATATATTTGAATTGAATTATGTTTTATAAAATAAATTGGTAATATTTGTTTATGTCGTATTGTTTATTTATTATGGAAATGGTGTAATGGTATTTTATTTTGGTTGAAATATTGTGTTTGTGATGAATAATTATATTTATTTTATATATTTTGTTGTGTGTTCTTGTTTTTTATTTGGAAGTTTTTCCAAGTTGTTGTTGTTGTTTTTTGTTATTGTTAGTATGATTGTTTTAGTTGTGTTTTTGAATTAATTATTTTGTTGTTGTTATGTGTTTTTTGTTTATGTTTGTTTTTTGATTTTAATTGTTTTTATTATTATTTTGTATGTTATTTATTGTTTTATGTTTTATATGTTTTTTGTTGATTAGGTATATAAAGAAACCATATTGAATAATATAATTAGTATATTAAATTAGATAAAGGTAGAGAAATAAAGAAAGATATGGATTTTGTGTTTTTTTATGTGTTGAATTATTTTAAAATATAGAAGGTAGGAATTATTTGAAATATATTTCCGAATTATGATTTTTAAAATATTTATTGTAAGATATTATTGTTTATTGATTATTATATATTATTTATTATGTTTTATATTAATTATTAATATATTTATTTAATATTATTATTATTTTTATTATAATTATGAATATTATAATTTTAATTATGATTATTATTATTGTTGATATTATTAATATTATTTTAATTATATTTTTTGTATTGAATCGAACTATTATATAAATTATATCCGAATTATACTTAGATAATTAGTTTTGTTAATATTAAATCTTTTTTAAAATATTTGTTATTATATAATGAATTTGGTTTATTAAGGTTAATATTAAATTATTTTATATATTTATATTATTATATTACGATTACTATTATTTATTACTACTATTAACTATTTATATATCGACGATTATTATTATTAACGAATTTTATTTACGAATTATATTTCGTAATACAAATTTTAAATTTATTAAACACAAAAAATAAATAAATTAGCCTCTTATTATAAACTACTACCTCCATATTAAAATAAAAATAAAATCTTTATATATATATAAATTCCAAAAAATATCTTTAATAAACAATAATAAATATAATCAGATTAAGAATCATGGAATGGAACCGAACCCTACGAACCGAACCGTTTGCGAACCGCTATTTTCACAAGCCGAACCGAACCGAACCGAACCGAACCATCCAGAGGAAAACAATTAGAATTTGATGAGGAGAATTGTAGAGTTTAGCGGCATAGCTCGTTCAATTTGATTTGCTCGAAGGTATCTGCTGGCGGGATTGAGTGAATGAAACTAGAGGTAAAGCTGGACGTATGATTATTAATTAAGAATGACGATGCTGGAAAGATTCGAGATGAGGTTGGTAAGGCTAGAGGCATTAAGGTAATTGGTGAGGTTAGAAATGAGGCTGGAGATAAGGCTGGAGGCTGGAAGAGGCTGGAAGAGGCTGGAAGAGGCTGGAAGAGGCTGGAAGAGGCTGGAAGAGGCTGGAAGAGGCTGGAAGAGGCTGGAAGAGGCTGGAAGAGGCTGGAAGAGGCTGGAAGAGGCTGGAAGAGGCTGGAAGAGGCTGGAAGAGGCTGGAAGAGGCTGAAGAGGCTGGAAGAGGCTGGAAGAGGCTGGAAGAGGCTGGAAGAGGCTGGAAGAGGCTGGAAGAGGCTGGAAGAGGCTGGAAGAGGCTGGAAGAGGCTGGAAGAGGCTGGAAGAGAGGCTGGAAGAAGAAGAGGCTGGAAGAGGCTGGAAGAGGCGGAAGAGGCCTGAAGAGGCGAAGAGGCTGAATCAAAGAGGCTGGCTGAAGAGGCTGGAAGAGGCTGGAAGAGGCTGGAAGAGGCTGAAGAGGCTGAAGAGGCTGGAAGAGGCTGGAAGAGGCTAAGAGGCTGGAAGAGGCTGGCTGGAAGAGGCTGAAGAGGCTGGAAGAGGCTGAAGAGGCTGAAGAGGCTGGAAGAGGCTGGAAGAGCTGGAAGAGGCTGGAAGAGGCTGGAAGAGGCTGGAAGAGGCTGGAAGAGGCTGGAAGAGGCTGGGAAGAGGCTGGAAGAGGCTGGAAGAGGCTGGAAGAGGCTGGAAGAGGCTGGAAGAGGCTGGAAGAGGCTGGAAGAGGCTGGAAGAGGCTGGAAGAGGCTGGAAGAGCTGGAAGAGGCTGGAAGAGGCTGGAAGAGGCTGGAAGAGGCTGGAAGAGGCTGGAAGAGGCTGGAAGAGGCTGGAAGAGGCTGGAAGAGGCTGGAAGAGGCTGGAAGAGGAGTCTGGAAGAGGCTGGAAGAGGCTGGAAGAGGCTGGAAGAGGCTGGAAGAGGCTGGAAGAGGCTGGAAGAGGCTGGAAGAGGCTGGAAGAGGCTGGAAGAGGCTGGAAGAGGCTGGAAGAGGCTGGAAGAGGCTGGAAGAGGCTGGAAGAGGCTGTAGACGGCTAGCTGGAGGAGAAAGTCGTAAGAGTGGAGGTGAGGTCAGTGAGGCTGGAGGCGAGATTAGTGAGGTGAAAGTGAAAGTGAGTCTGGTGAGGAGGCGGGAGGTGAGGATAAAAGTGAGGCTAGATATGATGTTGGCGAGGCTAAAGAGGGGGATATAAAGCTGAAGGCAAGTAAGATTAGGAAGGCAGGCGAGGTTGGAGGTGTGAGCGAAGCAAAAGATAAGGCTGGAAATGAGGCTAGTAAGATTAAAGAAGAGAAATATAGCTGGGAAATGGAGGGGCTAGAGGCGAGGCTAAAAGCAGGGTGGAAGTGAGAGTGGAGGAGGTGAGGGTGGAAGTGAGGGTTAGGGCAAATTGGAGATAAGGCTAGAAATAAGGCTAGAGGTAAAGAGAATAATAAAGCTGCAAACAAGTTAGAAGTAAAGCTATAAAAGTGGAGTTAAAAATAGAGATAAGGCTTAAAGTGTTAATAAATGCCTAATAATAAAGACAAACAATTAACATACCGAGACTAAGAATATATTACACAACTAGAAATAATATAATATAAAAAATCATAAACCGAAAAATACCATAATAACCAAACCAATTTCAAATAAAAAACCGAACCAAACCATATTAAACAAATTAAATTTCTAAAATCCAAACCAATCCGAACCATAACCACTCTACATAAACCAAATACCAAATAAACACAAATTTTCATATAACCAACACAAATTCAAATATTCTAAATTCGCAAAATACATAAATCAAACATCTATTCAACTCAAATTCATTTTTATCCAAATCATCCTTATCTAGCTTTATACTGTTTAGAATTAGTTTAATATTAGTTTAATATTCCCTAATTCCAATCCTATGTTTTTTTTCTCAATTAATTCCCATTAAACAAATCTCATTATTGGCTTCCTAAGTATTCCCTATATTACCCCCTTAAAAATTTGGTAAAATGCAATTTTGAGTAAGGGCTATCATAAAGAATTTGGTTATTAGAATCTCAATTAAATTTCCTTTTCTAGGGAAATTCAATAATTCTTTAGAAAGAAATTTCCTTTTCTAGGGAGATTCAATAATTCTTTGGAAAAAAAACACCTTTTTCCTACAAGCATCCCTAATCCCAATCCTATTATTTTTCTCAATTAACCCTCTCTTAAATAAATTTCATCAATATTAGATCAATTCACCAACCATATTAATAACTCACATACAAATAAAAACATAATCATAAATACAAATTACAAAATACATCTTAACAACTCTCGATTAAAAAACAAAAAAAATCCTTTTATCACAAAAACAAAAAACCAAACCAAAAACACCTATAAATACGGCCATATCAAACAAAACACCACAAAAATGAATAGCCTTCGCAACATGCAAACAACTACATTAATAACAAATATTCCGTAATAATTAATAATTAATTTTAAAATATTCTTCTCCAACATATTCAATATAATATATATATATATACATTATTTAAAATAAAATATCAATTCATTATCAAATATACCTATAATAATTTATATCTAATATATGTATGAGTTATAAGAAGAAAAGGGTGTACGCCATGGATTCATAGTAATTCGACAAATCATCATTTTGAACAATTTGTTTTGGCTCTTCACTTTGGAGCCTTCATCCATCGTCCTGGCGAGCTTGCTGCACACATGCAAGGAGCACGCAACTCAATGTAACTCTAAGTGCAGCGTTCTCAGTACCGAGGCAGTTTCGACTGGACCGACGCAATCATAACAGCTTCTAATCTTTCTCTCATTCATGAGTTCTTGGTGAGCCCCGTGAAGTAAAGCCGATCTGCATGCCGATCCTGGCCCGGCGGCAGGCATCTACTTGCGAGCCGCCATGTCTTTTACATGTCGAGAAGGAGGGCTGAAGCGACGTGGATGCGCCAAAAGTTATTGGCCTGCGGTTGGCTGCAAGAGCACGGCGCCTTTCTCAACCTTCTCCCCCCCCCCCCCCGCCTGCCCCAAGAGCCCAGTCGTTCCTCCGCCAAGCGCAAGAAGCGCTCGGCAGCTGCGCTGTCCAACGCCTGAAAGCAGCTTCCCCAAAACACGTAACTTCACACGCCAGAATGTAGATTCCTCTTTAACCCAAAATGTGCGTGCTTCCGTCTGATCGAAGCTTTTTTTAAACCTGAGGCACCCAACGTGCCTTTTTTTTAGGTACGAGAAAAACACGCTCGAATTACCGATTTCTGCTCGACCCCCCAAAAAACGCTCGCCCCCCGAAAACACGCTCGACCACATCCCCTTCTTCCATCCAGAGGAAGGCGGGATTGTTACGTTTTTTAAATTTGCACTCGTTTGCGGATATTTGCGCTCGTTTTGCGGATATTTGCGCTCGTTGTGCACTTGATTTCTGCTCGCTCCTTTTGAATATTCAGCGACCGATCATCTTGGAGGACCGACCGGCCCGGTTTTGGGAAAAACGCTCGAAGCAGGAAAAAGTGTACGTTTACCATATTTTGGTGACGACCCCTGGTTTTGCAATACGTTTGGCCTAAGGGCAGAAATTTATGTAACGAAGGGTGCTCCAGGAACAAAAAAACACGGAAAGAGTCAGACATCTTGGCCCGGAGGCAACCTGGTCTTTTAATTGTGAAATCGTCGGAGGCCTGGAGCTCCGCGGCGAGATTCTCCAATGGGGGCCATAGGCTATGATCTCACCAGACGAAAACGGCAAGCACTTGCAACATGAACGCATGCCAAACACGTGCCTACGACGACGACCAATTTTCATGGCCAATAAAATTTCACCATGGCTTGTTTTTTGGGAATATTTTTGTAAAGGCCGGATGAAATCCTTCCATTGTCTTTCAGGAAACTCATCACGACACGGCCGTTGCTTCCCCCTCCGGGTATTGGGGGCATACACCTTTTGTCCTCCTTTCGGGGAAGCATAAAGCAGCCGCAAAGAAAAGAGACTCACAAAGAAGCCCCTGTATGTTTCTAGAGAAGAGGTTCTTCTTTCCATGCAAAAAACCGTACCCAGTGCACTTCCATGCTGGCTGGTGGGAGGGTATGATGTGTTGGTCAGCCAACCTCTGTGCAGCACGCAGTGCGAGTCTTTCGTGAAACTCTTGACGATCCTTGGCCCTTCCCGCCAACCTGCCCCACAGTGCCTCCCTTGTCATATTCTTACACACCTCCTGGTAGCTCCTTAACTCCCTAAAGTCAAATTTGGATATCCTGGCTCTTTGGCTCCCTTCCAACCGCCAGCTAGTTCTCACGTGCTTATCAGAGGTTGGAAGGCCTCTTCAAAGTGAAAGCGGGTGACAAGTTGAGCCAATGCGTTCCCAATCTTCGGCCAACATATGAAGGCTATCAACGTGTCTTTGGGGTACATGCTCCATTCGCATATCAGCTTGAAACCGGGTCAACAACCCCATTTCAGGTCGACAGAATGCTGCCTTTGTCACTCGCCCGTTTCTCACACGTCCTCTTCATATGATCCGGCTCCCCCGGGCCCCGCCCCACATGCGCCAAATGCACGGCGTGGCCCACGCGTGGCCCCGGGCGCAAAACCCCAACAGAGGCTGGCTTTCAGGCCACGAGCGAATGCGCCTGTTCTGTTTTTTGCAGGGGCACGCTGCAACGCTTGAAAAGGACGGACGGAGGGGTACCAAACAAACTATCCCCCCCCCCCCCCCCGCAAATTAAGAAGAAAACACCGAAGGGGGGCCCTTCCCCAAAAAGAGGTTCCTCTAAATATGGATGGGTGTTGTGGGTTGCCTTCTAATTTGCGGGGCAGCCATCTTTCTCCAAGCTGGGCTATGAAAGTAAACATTTTGAAGAGAAGCCTACAAGTAAAGTAAACGTTTTGAAGCGTTTTCAAAAATCAAAATGGGTTTTCCCCCAAACACTTCAAGTTGGAGAACTCAATGGACCCGGGCCACGAAGAACCCCTCGGTCTGCGTACTGCCCCCGCCTCCGCCAGAAGCTCCCCCAGCATGGTAGCGCCACCACCGCCGGCCCTGGCCAGGGTGCGAGCTGGGCCCTGGAGAAACCGTTGGGTGCTTCTGTGGATCGCGCAAAATCCTGCAGCAGTTGGTACTTGGTTTTGGGCTGTCCTCAGATCCCCCAACAAAAGTTTAACTTTTAGTGGGTTAACTGGAAATCCACACTAAACACTAAAAAGCTAAAAAGCTAATGGCTGGGAGCCAACAAGAATCCCAGGATGCAAGAGGATTGATCCATTCCTGTTGGGGTTTTCGTACATCCACTGCATTTAAACAATTGTCCATCCCCTTCGGCGTCCCGAAGGACAAATCACCAAAACACAACTCCCAGTCCCGTGATTTGACAACTTACCCTGAATGCTCTCCGCTTGGTTCGTTTCTCACCCTGAGTGAACAAAACGCACCTTGTTTGAACACACAAACGCACGCCCGATTTTGTTTGTGTGGGGCCTTATCATTTTCAGTTGCCTACACAACGCCCGCGAAATGCGACCCCTCCCACAAAACGCCTACGCGAGACCAGGTCAACGTGGACATTGCAACACATTAGGTCTGTGCAAAATCGCAGTTGACAGAGCAAGCGCAGCCATTGGCAGTTTCAGCTCGGAAACTGCAACTTTTCGGCACAACTGCAGTATGCAAAGCTATTGCGTAAACCTTGGCAGGAAAGTCCACTTTGTTTCCAAAACAAAGCTCGCAAGCCCTCAAACAACGCTTCACATCATTCACCCCTTCATGAACACGTGACGAATCAAGCTCTCAAATGGTCCCTACGCGACTGCCTACCCAAAGGGTTCACAACACGAGCCTCCACACAAATACCGACGCACGCCCACGCCAGCCAAATGCCTACGCAACATGGAATCAATGTCGCCACACACACACACATACACAACTATATACGTAATACTGTATCAATCCTGGCTATTTCAAATTCATTGAGACAAGCAAGGCACACATAATTCAACCGTTCTGATTTTGTCAAGAAGCCTCCTTCCTCTGCCAACATCCTTGTGGTAGGATCACTTTCTCACATCTTCACTCCTCACCGGAAACATGTCCAGCTTTGCCATCGCTGGTCGGAGAGCAGGCCGATCAAAGCTGGTGCAACCTCGGGCCCCGAAGGCTCAAGGAAAAACTGGCCCATGCCCAGTCTCCCTTCAGACCACCTGGGTCCGGAACAGAGCTTCGTGGTCTTGGCATCATGCCAGCCCGGACCATTTGCGGTGCGCCTCCCAGCTTTTGCTTCGCACAGATAGGCTGGACTGCTTGTGATCCATGGCCAGCAACCCTCGAGCCTGCAGATTGAGCAGGCACAAACCTTGGATGGGCTTCGATAGGGGTTCCCAGCTGCGAAGGCACCCTGCATGTTGCGCCCAGCAAAAAACAACTAAGTATCTCTTCGCGCCAAACTTCCGGGTATGCATCCAAGAGGCCCAAGAACCCCAAGGGGCCCAATCCGTCCAGGTCCACCCAACTCGCCTTCGGGGGACTTCTCTCCGCGTGGCCCGCTTGCCTCGCCTTCGCCGACCTCAGATTGCTGAATGGGCCTGCGAGAATCTGGGAAGCCCGCCGGGTTATGGTAGATTCGCGCGAAGGCACGCTTGAGCAGCATGGTTTCGCGCACGGCCAAGGTGAACCATGCGTTCCGAGGCTCAGGTGCGATGTCTCCGCGCGGCTCCCAAGACCCTCGTGGCTCGGAAGGCGCTGGCGAAGATTCTCAATCTGGACCACCCCGCAAGTGAGCAGCGTTTTTTGGGAAGGTACTTAAGGTAGTGCTGCTGATGACGTATCAAACGCCTACGCCGACGCCTACGCCATGTGCAAGTACCATGGCGCGGCCTATGCGAGGTGTACGTCAGCCTTAAAACGCCTACGCGGTCCTACGCGGTTGGAGTTTTGCTCTCAAAGTGCCTACGCGGTGTGCGTGTCTTTCTAAAACACGTGCGCAAGAGCTGACTACGACAGCACGCTGGCCCCTAACCTCTGCCCTATTCTCTGCACATTCTTGTTTGTCTTTCTTTCTTGCTTTCTTTCTGCTTGATTTCTTTCTTTCAGGCAGAGAGACTCGTGTAGATGTCTTGAAAGTCTCTCTTGTTTGTTTCTTGCAACTCAAGTCGAGCCTCCGCGGGGCCGGCACCGCGAGAGCTCCCGAGCCGACAGTCAGAAAGTGGTGCAGTCAAATGCCTACGCGCGGCCTGAGATGTCCACTCTCCTTCTGTCCCTTTATATACTACCGGAAACAAAAGACTCCGCTCAAGTGCGTATTAATTTGAACCCTTTGGTGAACATGAATTGCATTGGGAATTCACCAACCTACCACAAAAACAAGAAGCTCCGCTCAAGTGCGTATTCATTTTAACCGGGGTCCCTTTGGTGGACATGAGTTACATTGGGATTGATGTTCACCAACCAACCTTGATCTTCCAGGACCCTGGAAAAGCAGGCCTTTGGCCGAATTTCCATTTGGAGCCAAGATCAAAATCAAGAAGAAGGACCCTTGTTTTGCGGCTCCTTGGAAGACCAAGGCAATCTTGCAGGAATTCCCCATCCAAAACCAGAAACAAGCCTTTTGCAGCCGCGAGGCGAATCGCAATGGATTGGCGCTGAGCGGCTTGGGGTTGAACCAATCCTGGCGCCCCGAAAAACCCGAGGAAGGGCGGCCCCGCGCCTTTGAGCTCAAGCTGCGTCCTCTTCAGCTTCTGGCGGCTTCGGGGGGCGGCTCTCTCCGGATTGAGCGGAGAAAAGGCCACCTGAGTTGGAAACAACTTGGTCTCGCTGGGACATGCGTCCTATCGCTGCTTCCTGGGGGCCTTCTTGAAGAGATCTCGCAAGTCTTGTCGCATCCATCCTATCGCTGCTTCTTTGGGGCCTTCTTGAAGGGAATGTCTCCAAAAAGGAGAACCTTCAGTAGAATAAGGCGGCTTCTCTTGGGCCCCCTCAAAACAACAGGAAAGCGGGAGACCTACGAAAAGGCACACCCGGATTCGTGCGGCTTTCCGCAAAGTGCCCAGCTTCTGCCCTCGCGAGGGTCCACCCACAGCCTCGGGTGACGCTGGCGACCAAGCTGCTTGCGTCGTGTATGAGACAGGGCAAAGTCAAGCAAATCTCAAATATACAGGTTAAAAATCTGAACGTCAATTCTGCCACCAACAGGCTCTGCAAAGGCTGGCGTGCCACTGCTCAAGTCCCATCCACCCTCGAGAGCTCAATCACAGCCCATAGCTTTGATGAACTTTCAGTGAGACTCCAAAAGACAGCCGAATGCCGAGAAGTACCCTCCCACCTTAATTGACATGGGTTTCTACAGCAGCCCCATACAAAAGGCACCTGTCCATTCCCCCAGTCCCCAAACAATGAACAAACAAATCCCCCACCCCCCCAAACGAACAACCAACAAAAATCCCCCACTCCTCCCCCCCCAAACGAACAGCCAAAAAAAAACAACCACTCCCCCCCCCCCCCAAACGAAAAAAAAAAAAATCCCCCACTCCTCCCCCCCCCCAAACGAAAAAAAAAAAAAAAAAAAAACCTCTCGAAATTTCCACAAAGGATCACGGGGCTCTCTCCAGAAACTTCGAAAGTGCTCTCTCTCGGTCCCCCGCGGCGTGGCCAAGCCCTTCTCCTGCTTGCCCAGGCCTTCGCCCTCCTGGGAAACGCCCGGATCTGTGGACCAAATGGATCTGGACCACTGGGCTTGCAAAATGACATGTGAAACACAGGAGTCCAGCAAAAAAGAAAGAAATAAAATTCACATCGGCTTAGCTTTGTTGCACTCTGGCCGCCCTTTGATCGTGCTTGCGCCAGGCTTGGGCATTCAACTAGCTTTGTGGCTGGCTCCTTCCACCCGAACTTCTGCAGCATCTTGTATCCGAACCCCTCAGAGATGGGGCGGTACAACACCTGGCAACAGGGCCCAGCCAGACGGGCGAGGCAGAAGATCACACGGGCCGAGGCAAATGTGTGATCCGCAACTTGGGCGATCAAACAGTCCACGACTGAACATGAAAACATGTTAAATATATACCAAAATAGAAATGGCAGGGCAAAAGTCGCGACTTAAAGGACCTTTCTTCCGAGGCGCGTGGGAGACAAGCTCCTTCTGGATAAAGCCAACACGCTCACCAAGGGAGCTTTACCTAGACCTTTGCACGGCATGCTCACGTTCATGATTGCCCCAGACTGAAGGCCACTTCGAGGAATCGCACTTTCAACAAACACACAGCACCCAGGCACGCCTATTTACTTGATGGTTTGCCACAGACTTTGCAGTGCTCTGCGGTTTGACTGTCTCAGCGCCTCCTTTGCTTCCAGCTTCATCCGCTTGATCTGCCCTGAACGCACAGGGAAAAATGGAGCACGCACGCTCGGCCCCTCAAAATGAGCCACGCAGCCGCAAAACCGGCCTTTCGTCACAACCTCAGTATCCAGGCAACCCAAACCTAGGAATCACTCTGCGCCCGACATTTCTGAGTGAACAGTAAACGCCTTCCTTGTTTTTTGGCAAGATGCCAGGCGTTGCGGGGTCTCAAGCTTCTCTTTGATGATCTGAGTGGGGGGGAATGGCAGTTTTGAATCCCAAGCTCTCTTGGGCGCTGGCAGTGTCCTGCTCTTTCTGGTCCTCCTTTTCGGCTCGCAAGGGGGGATGCTAAAGGACCCCTGGCCGAGGCCAGGATTTGCGGCACACGTACGCCACACGAGTTACCAACTCATCGTGGCCGGAGCGGAACGTAGGTTCACGAGATGCGCATGCGTGGCAGGCGGTATCTGCACCCATAAGGGTCCAACCCGCTCCTCTCCCCGACAAAAATGTTAAAGTGAGACCCTGATATATTTATGTGTATGTAAGCTAACCAAACGGCACCACACATGCAAGCGATAACTCTTTTATCCGAGCAATGTGTTGGTGCCAGGGACTCATCTTCCCCTGTCAGATGTCAACGGCTGGGTGGGCCCCATGGGCCACCCACCACAAACTCTCAAAAACTGAAGAACGGGTGTGCAGACTGATAGCGCCCGCCCCTGAGCCGGGGCCCGGGGCACCCAGGCCACAGGGGGGTCTGCCACCAGGGGAAGTGAGTCACCCACCGGCTCCGGTCACGGGAGCATGGGTGGGCCCACGCTGAGATCAAATGCATCTCCATTCAGGAGACGCGGGAGAAAAACGAACTCCTCGCAGAGTTCCTGTCTAGGGACCCTGTGCAAAGGGTCGAACCCAGAGAAATCTGGGTGCGTCAGCTCATCGGCCCACTGGTTGAATTCCCGGGGCACGTGGTTGGCCGCCAGCGAGCAGCCATGGGTGTGGAGCAGGAAGACCAGCTCCATCAGGATAGCCGCGGTATAGGGCTTCTTGGATCCAAGGTTGAGCATCGCCATGACGTTGCCCTGGTTGTCACTGCCCACCGGGAGTCGGACCCGGGAGGACAGAGGGCCTTGGTGCGTGAGGATCATGTTACAGAGGAAGAGCGTGCCCAGCATTTCCAAAGCCGCAATCCTCCGCTTGGGATCCCCATTCTTGAATGCCCAAGGGTACTCCTCCACGTGGATCTGTTCGTGGAACCAGTACACCTCCTTCTTTTCCGGCTCCGTTTTGTTGGAGCACCATCCTCCCACAAATGCCAGTCCTTCGTCCGAGGCGCTAGCATCGCTGCAACCCCACCAAGAGGACTTCGGCAGGTAAGGGGAGTACTGGACGAAGGGCGTGTTGAAGAGGAACCGCAGCATGAACGCCAGCATCCTGACCACCTTGGGGGGTTTCCCCACCGTGGTGGTGGCCATCTTCCAGGCCCACAATGGTTGAAGCATCGACTTCGCCAGCGGACATGCAGCAGTTGCCCATTGGATGCGGCCCAGGGCCTTCTCGATGTCCTTTGAGTGCATCGCCTGCCCTTCCACCATGGTCTGCAGGACCTCCATCACCAGGATGTGTTTGTTGGCGGCCATGAGAACCTGCGGGATGTTCGGGTGGACCACGAAGCCCAGCCACGTGTTGACCTCCGCCAAATGTGTCTTCTTCCAGCTAAGCGGGGTGCCCAAGGCCAGGAGTGTTGCCAACAGCGCCACCGCCAAGTTTACTGCCCCCTCGCTGCGAAGCAGCCACAGGAAGTCATCCACAAAGACGAAGTTCCAATCCACTTGAGGGAAAAGTGCGTAGAGGACCCTGAGTAGAAGGGCTGCCAGGCGTCCCCAGTAGGATTGGGCACTGGCCATGCCGTATGTGCCTACCTTGTTCACCCACCATTCTTCTCCCAGTGAAGCCACCTGGAACCGCCAGTCCTTTCTGAGGACCTTTACTCCCGGTGGGCCTTGGTGACGTCCGCCTTGAGCAGCACCCACCTGGTGCCCGGCTCCGGCCATAGCCAGCCCTCGGGTGGAGATTTGGCGACCTCCTTCTCGGGGCCGGAGGCACCCTGAGAGGGAGGTCCCTCCTCAGCTGCCGCATGTAGCCAATGAAGAGCTTGTACCCCATCCAGCACCGTCGGAGCCGTCGTCCTTTCCACCGTCTGGTTCCTGATGGTGTCATTGGCCCCGCCCACCGAGCCATCGTAGATGGTGCGGATCTTGTCCCCCTCGTCGATGCCCGCTAGGGGGCCTGGACAAAGATCCTCCATATTGCAGCCACAGCGCGCTGCTGCCTCTACCTTGGTGAGAGGGCCATGTACCATGCCCATGAAAACCTCCTGCAGGAATGTGCTAGGGATGAGCTCGCTGAAGTGATCCGCTGAGGGGTAGTTACCCCGGCCCGTGGGATGAGGGAGTTCCTGGAACTCCGGCTCCTCCCCTTTCAGCTCCTTCTTGAGTGGCCAGATGCCCGGCGAAGCTAGGGGTGGGTCCGTGACCCCCAGTGGGACCCCTTGTTCCAGATCCCGAGGAAACTGGTGGTCGGGGTCCTGAATGTTCAGCGCCAGGCTGTGCAAGATGTCCAGGAAGAAGGGTTGGCCTTCCGCTGGTCGTCCTGCCCCTGGCGCCAGAATCTCCCTGATATCTTCCAGCAGATCCTCCGGGAAGGGGTGTGACCCGTCCCCCAACGAGAGCGACTCCTGGAGTTTGTCCCCCCATGGCGACGTGAGGACACAGATCTTGGCCCCCAACGCTGCTGCTTTGGACAGTGGCCTCGTCCACGGGGCCAGCCGTCCAAGTGAGGGCTTCCCACCCCCGTCCCTGAGGGGGCGCTGTTTGAAGGCCATCTGGAGGTACATAACCTCGTCGGAGAGATTTGGGTCGTGCGTGATCGGCAGGGTGGTGGGCCGATCCGAGATCTCCATGCAATGGTGCGCCCATGGCTGAAGGGGAAGAGTTTCACCCCGAAGTTCGGCCGTCCTGCCAGCCGGCTGTGTTGGTGTCCGGACCGCAGGATTGTCTGAGGCCGAGACCGGAAGTAAGCCCAGGGTTAGTCCTGCCAACGCTTGTTGGCCGGCCTTTAGCCTCAGGGACTGGCGCTTGTTGTCCCCCGGCGTGCTAGGAGATGGTTCCCTTTGCCGCCTCGGGGGGGTCGTTGGGTTCACTTGGGGCACCGTGCCCCCCGGCTTCAGCGCCTCCAGGACTGGTCCCGCTCTGCAGAGGATGGCCGCCGCGAGACCCTGCATCATCTGCTCTGGGTACCGGCGGAGGTCACTGGAGTTGAGCTTTTCCCCCCTAAAGTGAGCTCCATGGTTGCATCGCAGATCATGCCAATGGTGAAGGGGAAGGTCCGTTGACAATGTCGTGGACTTCACTACCACCTGGCCCAGGCGGCACTCGTCAAACTTGATGAGGGAGTGGCGGAGTGCGTTCGCCCATTGAATGTAGGCCCGTGTGACCCAGATCGAAGAGCACCTCGCTGCGCTCGGGCTCTTGCTGCACTCCATTGGGTCCATTGGGTGCTCCAGGAATGAGGAGCCCACCTGCGGGACCGTTAGTTGACCTAGTCCTTGGTAGGCCAGCGAGGTCAGGTACATCTGTCGGAGCATGAGCACGCTGTCGTTGTCCGTGTCCTCCATTACCCGGGGCTCCAGGTCCTCCAAGCCCCACAGATTTTGCTCCGCCCTGCCCCTCACCGGCGGTGGGCCTCCCGGTTTGGGGAACCATCTGAGAATGCTCCACGTCCTGCAGTTGGGGCCGCCGGCGACCTTGCCCGCCATGGCCATGGAGCACATTGTAGAGTACGGCTCGTCTCCCAGCATGTCCTGTCCAAGATCGCCACCCTTCCGCCTAATGTCCACTGCCCAAATGTACTCCGAGAAGGCCGGGTTGTAGGCATGGAGGTAGGCATCCAGGGCCCCCGCATCATCCTTCCCCGCGTACAGCAGGATGAGGGTCGGCTTCGACGACTCCGGCACCGGACGTGGCGTCCACCTTAGTCTCAGCCTCAGTCTTTCCGGGGTGTCTTGCATCCAGGGGAAGGTGGGGCTTGTCCCCCCTGAGGTTTCCGTGTGTCCTTTGTCCGACCCTCTGGTCGGCTGCCCTGACGGTTCTGCCCGCCCTTGGAACGCCCCTTGCCGGGCGGATCCTCACCGCTGGGTCTCTCTGGGGGTTCATCCCACTGCCTCGGTGGGTGCGGGGGAAACGGGTGCTTCCGCCCTTCTGGAGTGCCCTGACTGGGTCCACTCCTTTTCTTCGGTGGAGGGGCTTCCGGGGCCGGTGGCACCCTGGAGAAATCCCCTCCCACCTGCGGCCGTCCTGGCCTCCCCAAACTCTGTCTGCCCTCTGCTGTGGCTCTGGTGGGATTGGCTCTCCCCCGCTGTGTGCACTCTCGCACTGGTGGCCTGTGATCCCTTCGGAGACCAGGCAGCCACGGGGCCTATGGCACCCTGAGTGGCCTCCTGTCACTTGGGAAGGTGTGGGCATGCCTGTGGCACATGCTTCGATGGGGGGGCATCACACACCCACCCATCCTTCCTGACTGGGCAGTTGTGGGATCGGCCGCATGATCCAGGGCATTTGTTGTGGAGGTGATGATCCCTGCAGTATGCCACCCCTTTGGTCCGGCCATGGGGTCGAGGAGGAGTTGGGGGACTTTCCTTTGCCGCCCTTGCCCTTCGGCTTGGAATGGGTAGGCCCGAGGGCCAGGATCCTTTTCCCCCCTTCTTGGGCTTCTCCCACTGAGTCTGCCACACCTTGGGTGCCTTGCTCTTGCTCTTCCCCCTCGTCGGCGCCCTGTTGAGGTGCTCATAGACCTCCCGTTGCCAGAAGAGGAAGTCGCCCCTGATGTTCTTGAGGGCTTCGGAGAGAGTGGTGCCCTGGTGCACCATCTCGTGAATCTTGCGCCATGCATTGCGCTCCGCAAACAGCAAGGTGGTGTCGCTCGGGGGAGGCTTTCTGCCGGCTATGTCCTCCCCATAGAACCAGGCATACCAGTCATCCAGCTCCTCCTTGGTGACCCTCAGGTTGCCAAACTGCGGCAGTGCTGCCGTGCACATCAGGAGCGTCGTCCTGAAGGTTAGGTGCAATCGTTCCAGCTGGCGCCGAGATGTAGGGTGGCTCCTCACCTCTTCTTCATCCTCCCTGTCCCAGCCGTCCACCGTGATCTTCTTGTGGGTGGATGAAGGGCGTTCCCCTTCTTCCGGGAGCGCGCTCACGATGTGTTTTGCCGGGATGTAGCCCAATTCGCCCTTGGCAATCAACGCCATTGCTTCTTGAGGTAGC